GTAGGTGGTCAATCATCCAAGCCATTTGACACGATGTCGTGTTCCGTTGGGTTTCTCATGCAGTCATCAGTCACTAGCTGATTGAGAAATCATCGGCATTCTAAATTTCTCAACATGAAATATTTCTCGTATATCTGACGGTGAACATTTCTGTCTAGATATGTTTGTCTGAGTAGAAGATATATAGTCTTCGAGTTCGATGACAATGACTGACATTTGCATGTAGCATATTTCAAGTAGTCGTTGTCATGCCTCCGTTTTTGCAGGAAATACTTAACTCCTCGCATTGATGATTACTTTGATTTGTCAGGCGGTTGCTGACCGCCGTCCTCAAATTTAGCAATTTGATCACTTTTGGCGGATACTACGTAACAGCTATGTTGCATTCTGTGTTTTAGGCAACATGCCCTCTGTTGGAATCGAAATTCGAGAAGTAGCCGTCTAATACCAACTCTAACTGTGTACACAAATATGCATGTATCTGCTAGAGCATTTACAAGAGGGAGAGCAGAGATAATTGTACACCTCTTTCTTCCTGAACATGTACCGAAAAGCCTTCGTCTCATGGGAACAAACATTTAGAATAGTGTCTTTGGCATATACCTCGTCGATATGAGTCATTCGGTAGACATCACGAAATCCGTCAAAAATAATAACAGACAGTATAGTTAAATTGCCTGTGAGTTTGCCAATGCAATCCCTACCAAATATGTGAAACTCGATTTCTGTGCTTAGAAAGAAGCAGTTATCAATCTTTCTTTTCTTAATTCTCTCTTTCATTTGATCACGTGATCCTTGGTTTTAGCCTCTCACTCTCCATGGTATGGTGTTACTTGACTTGTCTCTTCTTTCTGTGATTTCGGTTGAATTTACCGTGCTATCACTAACTTATTAACTAAGCATCATCTCATTCACTTTTCGTCTTTATAAAGTAAATCTTTTGCTATATGTTTAAACCTTGGGCACTGTGTTAGTATGTCATTCCATATTAGTTTGCTTATCAGATGTATCACACACACAAACGGTGAAACATTATTATTAACTAGATGACAACGTTTCGAACACAATCTATTATTGTTCATGATCATATCAATTATAATCACACGACTTTGAAAATTGAGTTTTGTAGTTTTCTTTGTTCTCTACTATTCATCGTCGTTGGAGTATTAGAATTTTCCAGATATCCAACTGGACAGTTGTTGAATCATTCCTATTTCACGTATTTTCGTCGAGTTCATTTGACGAACTTCCAGTAAGCTTCCGTTATCAATCTCTGCCTCCACCAAGCTGTGACATTAGATTTTTTAAACCGTCATCTTATCCCATTCAACCGATTGTATGGTTGTGTGGGAGTAATTGCATTTTTTGAGTGCTAGAGCTGATTGACTCTCCACATCTCTGATTATCTTATTGGGTCAACTGATCTAGATTTTGCTGCTAGGCTATTATGCTCGGCTAGTGTGATTGACTGCACCTGTTCTATTACTCTGACCCATATAGTTGATCTTACAAGTATCACGGGTGGGGAATTTGACAAACTAAATTCTTTTGTTCTCAAAGCTTCACAGGATTAGTCCGTTAACCGACAAAGTGCGTTTCCAATTAAGTTTGTGGGTGGTTTGAATGCCAGCCACTTTTATTCCTGCCTTGTTAAGAATTCTGCGTGAGGTTTCCGAGGCACCTTCCTTGTATGGAATCAATACTCATGATTTAGATTCATTATTGTCGGTGATGCCTTGCACACTTCAGTCGAAGTTATACATTATTATTACCTGTTGAATCTAAGGATCTAGGTGACACTGACGCTGTAGCCTCCAAGCTTTCACACTCCATCTTGTTTGTTCTAATTTTACACTGAAAAATGTTTCCGACTGTGTTATATTATTATTTTTCCTTTAGTTCATAGAAGAACATAGACATTCATCCAAACGGCCCCGTTGTGTTTGGTTCGCTGACAACATTTTCACCCGGTTTCACATCTGCCCAAATTCTTTCATCTCCTATTCACATGACCTCCTCAAGGTCCCCCACACACTGACGACCAACTCGCCACTTCTCATCAGGGATTCACTAGAAAGAGACGGCCTATCATATGAAGTCACTTGATGGTGGCTTGTTTTCTCAGAGTATTGGCAGCCAATCCACCTCGATTGCTTCCTGTAGATTTGATGCAAATCGTTTCCTGCTGAGTTGATTAGCTCCTAGAATTTCCTGCTGCTGATCATTTCTGGCCATCTGATCGTGAGTATTTTGAGAAGAGAGCTGTCAAATGAAAGTCTGTCGCATGTTCAAAGTGCACTTCGTGACGGGTTGCGGCGTGGCGTGGTGCCAAGTCTCTGATTCGTATTGTGAATAGCACTAAGGTCACGTTGGATTTGAAAATCCGGATCTAATTTTTCATGCTGAGCGCTGTTGATCTGCACATAGACATGAGTGTAATGAAAGCTTGCCTTGCTTCCACGATCCTCGATCAAATGATATCCCCATGAGTTCCATCCAACTGCAGTTGGAACGATGCTTTCCAGGTAGGTAGGTTGTTGGGTAGGTAGGTAGGTAGGTGAAGGAGGTTGCTGCCTTCAGATTCCTCCCATTCATTCCGTTGTTGTTGCTGCTGCTGCTGCTAGCCAGGAATCCTCACCACCTCTGTCTTCTATGTGTTCACCCAGAGTACTATCCTTTCTGGATGCTTCTCCTGACAAATTGTTGCTTTTCACTTGCATATCTTCCAGTTGGTGGGAAATCAGACAAATTTCGTCGGCGAAGTCCATATCCTCCAAGTTTTGTGTGTGTCTATTGAATGTCTGTCTCCGCGCTACGCGGTTCGCTGTCTGTCGTATTATCCAGTCTACCACAGTCAGGAAAATCACTGGAGATAGTAGGCAGCCAGGCAGGCTTGTCTTACTCCCGTCTTCACTTCTTACAAGGATTCCGCAAGTTTCTCGTTGTGGATTACATGGCATGAAGCATTGTCGTACAACTGTTGAATGAGATGTATAATTGTCGGCGTCACCCCGTAGTAGCGAAGCAGTTTGCCAATCACCCCTCAATGAACGCTGCTCTATCAAACGCCTCTTCAGAGTCGATGAAGTTGAGATAGAGACCTGACTGCCATTCCGAGCTCTCTCCAATGATGATCTGTTGTGTTGTGACTTGGTCAATGCATGACTTGTTTCTCCTGGATCCAGTTGAAGTTTTTCATGCAGTTTGGCATGTTTGATTCTGTTCAGAATGATGCGGCTTAGTATTTTGCTTGAGATAGACAGAAGCGTGATGACGTTGAATTAGTTCTCTTTTCTTCGTCAGCTTGAGTAAGTAGCGTTTCTTGCAATCCGCAGGTACCTTGCGCACTTCACAGACATTCTCTAGTCGTGTTGTCTTGAATTCCGCTGATGTAATTTGGTTGACTGTAACTTCATTTACTGACAATATATCTTTATTTGTGCATTGAATGTGATGACTTCTAAACATTGCGGGCACTGCTTGACTCACTGGTCTATCTGAATTTCCACCTGACAGAATCATTCAAATTTTCTCTATTTTATGTCTGTTTAAACATTCAATTATACCACTGAATCCCAAGGATGTACTCACTCATATTACTAATTGGCTTTGCAAATTTCAATGTACACAAAGTAAAAATTTCAGAAATCATTGGTTTACGCCAGATTGTCGAACTGAACTGTACCACGCCATATAATATCAATTACTACTTTATTTGAGAATCCTAGATGAAGTGAAAATATTATTCAGTAATTAATACAGTGAATTTTACTCATTGTCAAGACAATTCGGTTGGAATAAAGCTCCTTTAGAGAAGCCGCATAATTTAGAAAATTTCAGGACTGGTTAACTCAAAACAAGTGATTCAGAGAAGAGGGAAGGATACTCAAATCGAATAAACAAAACGAAAAAGAAATACAGATAACAACTGAATGCGGATAGCCATACTCTAACATAGTCGAATCAAGACTATGAAGATTGGAATGATTGAACAAATATTTTCTATATCCAAAGATCTGGATTTTCTACATAGATAGCTGAAAGTTCAACAGGACAGATGAGATGGACACATCAAGTTTTAGGCAGGTTGACTTTCACTGATTGTTGTTATTCCTCTCAAGTTTGATAGAGAGAGAGAGCCATTGAAAAGTAGTGAGTACTGGACAGCCATTCCATCCTCATCTGAGACTTATTGCTAGCACCCACAACCTCCCATCTGTATGGTCAAGCTATTAGACCACAAAAGCAGTTTTATTTATCGAATCAACCGGAAATCCGTGTGATAGAAATTATTCCCCACCTGTCCACTTAAACATCTGGAAATTTCTACCAACCACCGCTCTACTAAGAATAAGCAGGAATATGGAGAACTGTAAAATGCAAGTTTTGAAGTTGTGTGATTAATACAGTTGATATGATTATGAATAATGATAAAGTGTGTTCGAAACTTGGCCACCCAGTGAATATTGATACTGTTTTACTGTGTGTGGTGTGTGTGATATACCTAATTAGCCAATGAACATGGAGTTACATACTACCGCAGCACTCAGGTTGCACACATATATATATTTATATTGTCTGCGACTGTACAGCATTGGAATGAATTCTTTGAAAAACGACTCTTCAAGGAATCCCTTGTTTTGCTTTGCTTATGCTTAACTCTTTTTTGAAATCATGAGGCTTGTTGATCCGAAAAGAAGAAAATTATCACAGACGTGAGACTCTTAGCACATGCATATTTGTACCAATATCAAAAAGTGTGTTGATATTCTCTGAAAGCTTGTCAAATGCATTCAAGGCAAAATTAATATAATCTATTACAACTTTAGAATATTTTATTAAATTTCAATCCAGGAATTTCATGAGTACTTTTCATTTTGTTCATTAATTATTATTATTACAATTATCAGAGAGTTAAGCGTAAATAACAAAAGTTTCAATAAGTTATTTCGGTATTCTGGAGTACTTATTAAAAATTTTTGCTCAACTGTGAAAAGGTATCAATTACTTGTGGTATCAGATGAATGTGAATCATTTCTGACATAATTAACTTTCAGTACTATTATGAATATACAAAATAATACAATACAAATAGTGGTAGAAATGAGAGTGGCCACTGTACTTGATACTATCACAGATGATAACCATAAAGACTGTAGATTTTCATTTTGATTATTTGAAAATATAACCGTTGCATTTTGTATTCTATTAATATGATTGCTATTTGAATGAACATGGGAAATTGGAAAATCACTTGGACTTTCTTCTTCGTTGACATTTACGCTAGGCGTTTGTGTAGCCATCGGGAGATGGGAGGGATAATTGTGTGGTTTATGCGCACGACTTCGATTCGCGCTTTCTTCTTTGGCATTCACTTCAGACGTTTGTTTAGACATCGGGAGATGGGATGGATAATTGTGTGGTTTATGCGTACGACTTGTATTCGCGCTTTCTTCTTTGACGTTTACGTTAGACGTTTGTGTAGACATCGGGAGACGGTATGGATAATTGTGTGATTTATGCGTACGACTTAGATTCCATTTCATATTTGTGTTATTCTAAAAACATTTTCACAGAAACCCGATGTTCAGTTTGACCAATGTTCACACAAAAGATATATTAATATAGACCAAACTAGATCAACTATTATAGAACACGTTGCATAACAAAATAGTTAAGTTCTAGGTCAATGAAACAGTTGACACTAAGAAAGAATTCGAAAAAGGCATTTCATATGAAAATAGGTGATGAAGATGTTGTCTCGGAAGGCAAAGAAACCTTCATATTTTAACCATCTAGTTCAGAGAATACAACCATATCAGAAATATCCACCTGAGATACACAACTTCACCAGTACCTTTTTTTCTATGGTGGATATGTCACACAGACAATTATTCTCAGGGTGATAAATAGTAGAACAATGCTCATAATTCTGGGAGAAAATGTTGCTAATATAACAATAAGTGTAATGGAAGTTGAAAGAGAAAACACAAGATGAGATACTCCTAACAATCCTATCGGTGGTTAGACAGGATAAACAACACACACACACACAACTCAGCTGTCAAGATACTGCAACGTAGGAGAAACATTGTCATGCTTACAAAAGAAAGAACTTCAGTTCTCATGGACAGAAGAGAATACACCAAGAAATCTGAAGAGCTACTCAGGAATGGTGATGCATACCAATAGATCACAAGAAAACCCATCCAAACATTAGACAACCACATCCAACGAAGCCTAAACAACCTCAGCAAAACAGGTCAGATCACAAAAGAAAATCAGTGGCGAATAGAATCCAGTGGACCATTTCTATCTCCATTGTATGGCAGACGTAAAATACACAAACCAAACATCCCATTACAACTATTTTGATCTTTCTCACGGACCTCAACAGTAAATTGAATCACCTAACAGAATCCTGCGATCAATCTATCGAATCTCCAATCGAATTTCTACAGAAAACCAAGGGCATTCAAATACATGACCAAGGAATAATGATATCCTTCAATGTCACAGCATGATACACCTCAATTGAACAGATACTAGAAAACGAAAACATGGAGCAATTGCTCAGCAATGACGAACAGCTCCCAAAACACTCAAAAATGCAACAAATAAGTTGAATGGAATGCATTAACCTATGTGTGACAACATAATTCCAATTCAATGATCAAATATATGGGCAAATTAAAGGAACACCCATGGAATCACTCATATCAGGCCTGATTGCAGAAGCAGTAATGCAAGGACTTGAAAAAGTAAGCCTACCGAAGATCCGACCAGTCTTTTGTATACGTTACGTGGATGCTACATTAGTGATAATCAAAAGACACGAGTTGGAGAAAACTCACAACCTAACAGACGACATATTCAACGATATCGAATTCACATGAGAAGAGAAATTCCAGAACAAGATCCTATTTTAGGATTTCTTAGTCATACGAACAACGAGAGGAAAATTAGAAACTCGCATTCTGTTGTAAATTTATATACATATATATAAATATATTGAATGGTTGAGAAATTTCTGGAACTACTTTTTGTTGAAAATTCATCTGATATTGTTTGGTGAACGACTACAGTAGGAATTCATCTAAAATCGAATGTGAGTTTGTGATCAATGCAGTACACCAGCTTGAGTAATAGGACAGATACTCGGCAAAGATACTAGCTAGTGATGCAGCTAACAATCACTAGCTGACTGAAGATAGAATGCATGCGTCAATAGATCAAGTCCCAATGGCTGAAAGATTGCCATGATTAGCTCATAATCTGAAGGTTCTGGGTTTCATATCTTCTCCTGGAAAGTCCCGAACTAAGATGAAGAAATAGTTCAGTACTCCCTGGTTCTCAGCTTTTCTCCAACTAATATTCACCCATGCTCAAACTTAAGAAACAATTCAAAACCCCAAAGAATAGCACTTAAAAATAGACATTCAGTATCAATAAGTCTCGACAAAGAGATTTTGTCGTCCTACAAAATAATACTACTGAAAAAATAGCTTCTATCACAAAAAGTATTTCTTTAAGAATCCATAAAAAGTAAGCTGTGAATGTGTTCACTCAAAGTTTAAAAAATAGATCATTTTAGGTATTATATAGAATCGAAAAATTCAATTACATACATGAGTAAAACAATTCGTTTCCATCCAATCCAATAAGATGGCATCATTGTTATCAAAGCAATTCCTTTTAAGTGTGGTTGCTTCACTGCATACCTTATATGATGCATATTCACTGCAACCTGTATTGTTAGTAAGAAATAGTCATGAAATTCAATCTGTTTTCAAGCGTATATATATAGACAAATATAATCAAAGATTTTGTATTTACCAATGAATGAAAGCTAAAACGATATTGTTGCTTTTACTGACGCTTCTCTACCTAATGCTACTGGTAGCTTTATCAGAAAGTAGTAATATGAAACCAGAATTTACAAAGTCTCAGCGTATGTATATATATGTATAACAACCCAAGAAAAATAACTATCCAAGAACTTCACCAACAAAAGCAACACTGGCATTAAATATGGTCCAAAACGTATTCCGAAAATATGGACCTAAACAGCTGTAATTGCACATTGAGCAAAGACGTCAGACGATATCAGAAGAGTACTCAATAAGCCTGACTTGTGACACACTGAGAAACTAACTTGTCCATGTAGAAAGACCAAATCCCTAGAGATTCTGTTTGTAATTGCGCCTATAAAAACAAAATGTGATGTGATAAACATCGGAAAATAAATCACCAGAGAGAAATCAAAATCAGAAGAAATGAACAGCGTACAGAAGCCTCTATTCTATCACTGAGAAACCCAGTTGAACTAGAGAAGCTTGAAAATTTATCAGCCATTGGTCGTCTACACGCTATGCTTTAGAATCAGGTCACAAAATTTATTTTGACAATATTGAAATCCTCATCCAGAAGAATTTCAGAAATCACAAAGAACGTTTAATACCATCAGACGTAATTCACATCAAGTAGAATCCAAATTGTCCAATAGTAATGGAGTGAAACAGAATCTCACCTGGTTACAACAACCCCTCAACCCACTCCATGAAATAACAAAATCAACACGAATGTGATAAACAATTTCACTACATATTAACACATGCTTCCTTTTTAATGTTAAACACTTATCAACTCTAACAATCTACACCTGGTCTTTTTATCTTTACAACAACTGGCCAACTTGACAAGGTAAAAATCAGCCCAAGTTGATGAATGATGATTAAGTTGTTAAATATAAGCTGGTTTAATATTACTACTTTGATGAAGGAGTTAACAGTATTACATAGTGAAAAGTCAGTAAAAACATAAATATCAGTTTTGTTTTTCATTCATTCATTGGGAAATACACAAACGTTTGTAATGATAATGAATATCAGATACTCAATGCCTAAATATTTTTCAAACTGTTGTGTAAGTTTTCACTATATATTTTGATGCTTAACTAAGTCAGAATAATCCTGCTGAAGAGGATATGAATTACACAGCGAAACGTTCCGAAAAAACCTCAATAATGTTTTTTGTTAAACATGCTGGGATTATTTTACATGATTTATAAAAGTGAACTTAGTTTGGACAAATATAATAATAAGGGTTCAATGTTTAAAAAAAATTTATTGAAAGCATTTAATAAAATTCACACTTGAAATGAAGAACAAGTCTAGTATTCATTTCCTCGATGTGAAATTATCAAGGAGGACCGGTAGAACTCTGAAGAGATCGATTTGTCAAAAGTTGTCATAGAATGATCAACTGACAAATTTCTACAGCTAGGTACCCATTGGCTGAAAACGAAACCTGATCTTGTTGCTTTCCATTCACATTTGGCGCATATGTAGCCCTGATACTGTGGAGGATGAGTTAAATCTTTTGAGAAAACTCCTAATAGAAAATAGACAAGAATATACAGTCAAATCCTATGAAAAGTGACTTATCATCCATACCAAAGAAAATACTGCACGTGAGCTTGGAATTCAAAGGTGATTTACCTTCCGATATCTTTAAAAATAGGATCTCATAGTCCCTGAGTAGAACATTCCCAGCTGCACCTATGAGAATAACCTTTACCATTCGAGCATTACTGTTCAATAACCTGTTTTCTAATGTTAAATTCTGTTATCAGATTTCAAACACTACATTACGTAACACTCTTATTTTATTCGATTTGCCCACTAATCCTATAATAATAAGTTTCCAGACCGTAGGTGCTACGAACTTCCTGGAATAATTTGAGCGCCGAGTCAGATAGATTCACTATAAATTATTTAAATTAATCCCAGCGTGTTTAAGAAAATCGAAACAAGATTTTTCTCATTAATATATGTGTAAAACTTGGGCACTGTGGTAGTAAGTAATTCCATATTAGTTTGTTTATTAGGTATATCACACAGTGAAACAGTATTATTTACTGGATGACACAGTTTCGAACAAAATTTATTGTTCATAATCATATCAATTGTGATCACACGACTTTGACACTTGAGTTTTATAGTTTTCTTTGTTCTCTCCTATTTGTCGTATGGGTAGAAGAATTTTCCAGATATCTGGGACAGGTGATGAATCATTCCTATTACTCGTATTTGCAGTTGATTCGATAAACAAGGCTTCCGTTATCAATCTCTCCCTATTCCTTGTGACATTAGATTTTATAACTGTCATCCTATCCCATCCTATTGTATGGTTGTGTGTGACTGCATGTAGTGCTTTAGCTGAACTATTCTCTAGATTTCTTATCTTATTCAGGTCAACCGAAGACGTGTGATCACAATTTATATGATTATGAACAATAAATTTTGTTCGAAACGTCATTCAGTAAATAATACTGTTTCACTGTGTGATATACCTAATAAACAAACTAATATGGAAGATTTTTCTCAACCTTCCGCTGTGTAAGCCACAGCTTCTTCAGCAGATTTATTCGAATTTTAATTAATCATCATAATGTATGGTCAAACATTTTTGCATAAATTGAAATCAGTTAATTTGAAGGCCATTTGTTCATGAACATTTTTACCAATAGATATATGTGAGCTGTCATCAAATATTT